ACCAGCAAAGCGGACACATCCGGGTGGCAGTTGCTTCTTTTGAGCATTTTTCGTTTAAGTAGATAGAGCAGCACGAAACAGAAGTGCGCAGAGAAGGCGCTGTGCAAATGACAAATGGCAGGCAAAGCACAATCGCAGTTTTCCGGTTTCGATAAGGGACCAAAGCACACGCGAGCCGGGAAGAACACACACATGGCAAGACATGAGGATAGAATCTACTTCCAGTCGCTGAAGTGGAATTGAGGGCTACTAAAAAGGATCTGCAGGCCAAGGCATATGTTTCCACCAATCAAAAAACGTTCGAGGAGTTTTACACTGCCTACCAGCCATCTTTATCACCAGGAAAAGTGAGCTTACATGTCCGAAAATAGTATACTTTTGGTGGTTCTACTAGGATCCGTCTGCCAGAACCGATCCCAAGTGTAAAAAATAGAAAAAACTTAATGAAGACGAGAAGACCAATTGCCGATACAAGCGAAAGTACGAGGTCCACGAGCTAAGTGAGCAGGAGAAGCAATCGCTAGAGCGAGTCTTTTATTTGTCTGATCTCAGTCAATTTCCTTTGCGACGGTCTCTGATGGTGGATTGTAGTGAACATTCGAAACGCTCGGTCAAAAACCTTCTTTTTCCAGCGATCAGACCACCTTTTCCTTAACACTATGTACCACAGTTGAAGAGCAGCATTTTATTGTCACGAAACAGCGCAGTCTGATTGGTTATTCTGGCGTACAGCAGAACATAAAATCTGGATTAACTAGACAGACGCCGCCAGCGCATGCAGGCTAGATCTTCTGAAAAGAGCTAAAATAGCTGTGCATCTGCAAACTTCGCGATGCAACCTCACTAGGATATAGACAGTTGGGTCGATTTACTCCGAAAACCATGGGAAACGGCGACTTGAGTCAACTAAATGAGGAAGATAAGGGTAAAAATAGTAAAGAACCTAGGGTCAGATTAAAAAACCTACCTGCGTCTGCAATCGATTAAGGCCTCTAATCCAGAGAATCTGGCCCTTCACAGCAGTCTCTTCCTCAGAGGGTATGCCGGAGGGTTCAGCTTCAATATCCTCTTCCTCTTCTTCCTCTTCGACCTCAGCGGCCTTCGCTGGTCGTTTCCTCTTGCACTCTGGTATAATGCTATCCGGGATGCAAATAATGACCTGCAGAACCGGGCGGGTGAAAAGATAGAAAAACATGAAGGGAGATGGAGAGATAAAACTAGACATTCGACAGGA